ATAATAATAATTGCATACAAAACGATTACTGCGCCTTCTTAATCTCGTTATTTTTCCATTTCTATTTAGAACATTATCGATATAGTAAACGTTAGGACAGATCCAAGGACTTATGGACCGGTCCGGTCCTAAGATAGCTGAAAACCGGACCAGGTCGAACCAACTATAATTTTGTAATATTATAAATAAAATAAGTATTTTATCATATTAATCCTTAATCCTTAATTTAAAATAATTAATGCTATAAATAATAAAGGACCGGTCCGGACCGGTCCTCAGAATAAGGACCGAGGACCGCAAGGACCGGTCCCATTAACCGGTCTAAGACCGGTCTTGCCAGGACCGATCCATCCCTAGAAGTTCTTTAGTCCTTTCTTTGGTGGTTCGTTGGTAGTTCTTTGGTACTTTCGTTAGTGGTTCTTTGGTCCTTTCGTTGGTGGTTCATTGATCCTTTCGTTGGTGGTTCTTTACTATTTTGTTAGTAGTTCTTGGGTTCTTTGGTTAATTGCTTCTTTCATTTTTGGGTTCTTTGGTTCTTTGCTTCTTTGGTATTTACGTTTCGTTAGTTTTTCTTTTTTTTTCTTTCCTTTCCTTTCCTTTTCTTTTTTTTCCTTTTTTTTTCTTTTTCGTTTTTCATTTTTCGTTCTTCGTTCTTGTTTTTTTTTTTTTTAAAAAAATAAAATAAAATAAGTGAAAATAAAAAAAAATTAATTAAAATAAAGATTTCGCCGGATCTCGGGGATATATTTGTTTTTTATATCGCGTCGCGATTTTTGTTTAATGTTTTTTCTAAATTTATTTATTTATTTTAGTTATTTTATTCTAGTTATTTTATTTTAGTTATCTATAATAACCGTACAGTTTTTATAGCCTTTGTTATTCCACCGAATTTGCAAAGTAATTGCAATTTAAAATGAAAAAGCACAACTTTAATTTTCAAATATTTTATTTAAAGAAAATTATTTTGGATTTGCAAATCCTTGAATCTGTTAATGTTTTTTTTTATTTAGGATGATTATAATAAGTTGTATTGATCGTTTACGTTGTATAAGCAAAATCATGGTACGTATAAATCTCGTAAAAGCTTGAAAAAGAATAAAAAAACGTATAAACTTAGATGATCTAAAAAAGGAAACTTGAATGCGTGAAAAGTAAACAAAGTAGAACTTCTATGCATCAAATTTTCTTTGACACTTCTTTCCTTTGGATTTTCCATAAAACAAAAAAAATTTTATATTCCTTTTCTTTGACATTATTAACAAGTTTGGGAAAATGAGGAAACATTTTTAAAAAATATTACGATAATAAGTTTTGATTTCTCGTCTAGATATGCGCACAAACGTTTTAATCATTAAATTTTATGTCATACAGAACATGGCGAAAACATTTATAAACTTCTTATAAGCATTCTTTTATATGTAATATATTTTATACCGTACATCGGAGCATTCTAAGCAAATTAACTTCCTTTTTTAGTAATTCCAAAATTGGTATAGAATATCATTTAAAATAACATTTTAGAATTTTTTTTCCTTAAAAACGAGACAAAAAATGAAACTTATTTAATAAATAAAACTAACAGTACAATTTTACTTAAAATTTCTGGATAATATACTGGATGAAATATTGATACTTTAATAAAATTAAAGACAAGACTTCGTATTTATCACTTATATTGTAACTTTATTGGGATTAAGGATGACATTCAAACATTTATGGACAGTAAGTACTTAAGATGATATGTATTGATAAGTTATAATATTTTACTAGGTGGTCTTTTAAATGAGCAATTATAGCACTATTTACTTAATTTCTATTAAAGCAAATATAGATTTTTTAGAGGTAATGTATAACTTAGTCTTTAAATTAATTTTCTAAAATGAAAATCATTTGTTTATTTACATAAAATACGTGAAAACTTTCATTATTATATTTATATAGTTTTTGTTTTTGAAATATTTTATCTGTTTCTTTTAAAATCAAAAAAATTACGTTATATAGTATTTTTATTTTTTATACTTATAATTGTATTATTATTCTTTTTTAATTAAATAATAAACTACGAATCATCTTAAAATTATTAATTATTCTAATATATATATATATATTTTTACAATAATTTGTAATCCAATAGCAATAAAATTAAAATAAACACTTTACTTACTAAATCATTTTTAAATAATTATCGTAATAAGTTAAGCAAATATAAAACACAAATATAAAATTACAAGTATTAATTTGTTGTTTCCATGTAAATTGATTACGACTTTGCCGTAAATAAGTTCTTAAATATAATATTAAATAAAGAAAATAATCTTTATTTAATGGGTCCTGAGTAATACCATAACCATAAGTTTGAACAAAATCTTTCTATTTATAGCTTTATGTTAATTGAGATTTAGCCTATAAAACAGAATTAAAATAATCAATTTTTTATCTTTCTTTTATTTAAAAAACCTCAATTATTAATTCTTATTATTACTTTTAAATTACATACCATTTGAAGCAGATTCTATTACATTTAAAAATTTTTTCTAATACTTTGAGTATTATCTTTATCATTATTAATTTTTGTTTGATTGTATCGCATTTATCATAGTCTAATAATCCAAACTGCTTTATAAATTTCAGAACAACCAACCTTTAGTTAAATATTCAATATTTTGTATATTATCGTATGGATTAACTATTCTAAATAGAAGAACCGCTTTCAACTGAAAATAATGTTTTAAAATATCAATTTATTATTTCCAAGTGTATATTCTGATAGTTTGCTTTAGATAACTTCATACCGCTTATTTAGGTCAACGTAAATTTTAAAATCAGTTATTGCGTATGTTGTATTAATTTTAGTGTAAATTTAATTCATTACGAATGAAGTACTTGAAAATAAAAACCAATTAATAGTATCATGTGAGTACTGTTAATTTTACTAGTACTCTAATCATTTGAAAATTATGTAAACTTTAATTCCTTCAGTAATATTAACAATTTCTTTTCTTACAAAAATTTTCATGATCATATCAATAATAAACAAAATCGTAAAGCAAATGTCTGTATAACTTTATTGTATATCGAAAATTTGGTATGTATGCAGTATACTCTCCTGTGTAACCTTAACGAAATGTCACGTTACGTCCTCCATATTTTCATTTTTACTAGGGACTTTAAATTTTTTTGTTGATAAACTCCTATTTATTATTTGTCACCAGAACTTACGCGTAAATTTTAATGCCGGTCATTTCGGGAAAGTTACTCTGAGGTCTATTTTGTACAATAAGTTTGTGTTATAAACCAATAAATTTCCCCCTATAGTTAGTAAATTAAATTTTTCGCCTTAAAATTTTATCCTACTGGCCTTGACAGAAAAAAAATTTTTTTTTTTATCAAAATTAAATAGATCAAAGAAATAAAAATGTTATAATTTATGAACTTTAATCTCAGTTGAATTTACTAGATAAAACAAAATAATTTCGTTCTCTATTTAATAATTAAACTTTATTCAATCATTCATGATTTTATTAAATTCCATAAAAAAAATTATTAAACCGCCCACGTAAATAAAATAGATAATACCTCCCGATCAAATAACAGATTTTCTATATAATTTGTTGAAAATAAACTTCTGGCTTACATAAAATAACTTATTAGTTTATCACCTACAAATATTCTCTTTATCTTACACACTACATCCGCTCATAATTAATTTTTTCTCGGCACTTTTTGTTTTTGGACTTCATTGGCGATGAACATTCCTTTGGTCGGTCTGGCAATAGAACCTTTCCCAGTAAAAACTTCTCCCTTTCTGCACGTTCCTTTGTTGAAGCGAAAAGTGTAACCGTGGAGAATAACATTCTCTGTAACAAAGAATTAATATAAGTACAAGTTAAGCAAAAGCAGAAATTAGAAACTATTGACTTACTTTGGCTTGTAGAATGACGCGCGCCATTTTCAAAACTCCCCCAAGTTCTTCATAAGCCGTCGGGATATCAAATTCCGCAAGCTCGGCTGAGAGGTAGAACCCAGCACCAACATACATTATGAGAATCATACGGATGAAAAATCTTGATGACAAAAATCCAGGCATGAGCATTTTTGGAATAACATCGAGAACTTCCTTCGAAATTGTTCCACCACTTGTCATGACAATTGTGTCAATAAGAGTCTTGTGCATATCTTTGAGTGTTTTTTGAACTTTAAGAGTATTATCTAGAATCTTCTTGTGATTTTCGATTCTTGATCCAGCACGTTCGCATAAAGAAAACTCGCGACCCCATGTCATATCCTTTGCAAGGTCATGACGCTGTGAATGAACTTTTTATTAATATCCATAAAAATAAAAATCCTCAAAACTTTCAGTATGCATACCGTAAACAACCAATCAATGTGGTAACCTTCCACATATGAAGAAGCATCTATCGCCTTCCTTCGCCGATCACGTGAAGCTCGAGACACAGTTTCTCCACTACAGAAAGAATCATTAGTGTTGATTATGACGACTCAAATTAAGAAAATACCAAACCTACAAGTGCCTATCCACAATGCCGTTAAAGCAAGAGAATATAGTTGATTTAATAAAAACGTCAATATCTCTTTCAGAATTATGACGTTGAGGAATTCCAATATCAATCATCTCATAACTATAACAAGGAAGGGTGTATAAGTCAGTTTAATTGAGGCGTCCGTTATCCCAAGGATTTAAATTATACTTACGTGTAGCGGAGTAATTCGAGGATGTATGATACATCTTTATTTAGGTGATCTTCTTCTCGTATAAGATTTTTATTGCTTTCATCCTTATTTTCAACAATTAAAAAAGGATTTGACTCTTCAACTTCGCTGGACGTGAGAATATTTCTGATCTCAAGAACCGCACCATGGATCCCATTTGGTTTAACAGTTTTTGCGATCTTTTTCAGTTGCTTTGTCGTCAACTAAAGGTCAAATTGAAACAATAATGAAAAATTACACAGGCATTTCTTGTAAATTCCGGTATACTTACCTTCGCTAACGATCCTAAACATCTTTCTGCTGGCGGCACTAACACTGTCCACTCATTGGGTTGTCCTATCCAGAGGGCAGATGAGATTAATTTGCGAACATTTACCTGATCATTTTGGGATAATGTTGAGGGAGCAACCTCAGAATAGGATAGGTCAATTATTCGCCATAAAAGTGGCCTGCATAAGTAATAAGTTAGCTTTACTTATTGTAATATATCAAATCAATAGCTTGTTATTGATCACTTACTTTGAAGCAATATTCGAGCCTATTTGTGACATCATTGTTTTTTGTTCATTGATTACTTTGTTCAACCAATCATGAATTGGATAGTTGAATTCCCATTCAACCGAACTTAAATGAGAATGTGATAGCGTTATTACAAACTACATACTGTATATTATTGTGGTTATATGTATTTAATTCTTACCTAACATCCATCGCTTTTATCTCTTCTTCATCCCGTGCATACATCTAAAAGGTTCGTGAATCAATTTGAATAACTCGTTTTTGTGCTAAAAATAAAATGAAACTAATCTCATACCTCGAATAGATATTCAACATCATCTTGATATGCTCCTTCACATGATGAATCCTAGTAATATAATAAAGGTGAGTTAGAAATAAAGTGGAGTCGATATTCAATATCATGTCAAACAATGTATTAAATTCATGCACCTGCCGACTACGCTTTTCATTTGATGGGCCTGCCTCGTTGTCATTGGTGTCATCCTGCGGCCTCTTTTTATTTTCTGTTCCTTGTAACATCTCTGACAATTTTTGAGACGAATATATTTTTTCCTCAATGTGCTGGACCCTCTCAGCAAGTTGCAGATCACAATAACGTTCATAAAAATTGTTGTACCATTTCATACATCGTTCAAGGACAGTTTCTCCTTCAAAAGTATTGAAGTTTAATAATTCTTTACAAAAATGCTTTACACTGTTCGGAACTCTTATATGATTGGTATTTATCATAGCTTCGAGTGAATCTTTCCAGCCATTTAATACATCGGTCCAGGTTGGAGTTATGTTCTCAGTTTCTAAACGATAGATCCTGAGCACCAACCTTCTTAAAATAATCGTTAACATTTAATTCATCAGGCGCCAAAAAGCGGTTGTAAATGTTTGATCTTAACGTAGCAGTCATTATTCGAGAATAGATATTTTCAGTGACCCGAGAAATGATATAGAAAGTTTAGAGAGGAATTGTTATCTAAATGAAGAAGAGATTTATTAAAGTTTAATTAGGTGTAAAGTGACGTGCGTTTAAATAAAATTACAGGACGAGTCACTGATCAAGTTACACATCATCAGCCAATATTATTAGTCTATTGCAGCGTTGTCACGGGACAATGTCCGGGACAGATTTTACCATAAAAATTTCATCCACGTGACTTTAGGCCGGCATTACGGCATTAAGAAATTAACAGCGTGACAAATATTTGTGACAAATAGGAGTTCACTCCCAGAATACATAGTAAAAATGAAAATTTGAGGGGTGTGACGCAGGATGACAAATATTTTACTATGATCACGTGGGGTGAAATTTTTATGGCGATACTGGACAGGTGACACGAGAAAACAGTGCTAATACTAGTTACACATTTTTTATACTGTAAGTTGCAGAAGAATACAGACAAAGTAAGGACATGCACGGGACAGAAAGAAAAGCTACTATTGTGATGAAGGAGCGTAACTATGCTGAAGCTTCTCGTGTCGGCCAGTTCAGCGGCGGCGAGAGCTTCCCTTGTATCTCTAGATATTTAGGAGAAGCCATGCTTCATGTCGGCCAGTTCTGCGGCGGTGAAGTTATGAGTTACTAACTAACAGCTGATCGCGTCGGCCAGTCCAGCGGCGGTGACAGTTGATTCATTGATTTTGCTGAAGTTTCTTGTGTCGGCCAGTTCTGCGGCGGCGAGAGCTTCCCTTGTATCTCTAGATATTTAGGAGAAAGCCATGCTTCATGTCGGCCAGTTCTGCGGCGGTGAAGTTATGTATCAGTGAATATCCAAGTTATTTCTTGGTAGTTATCGTCCAAATCATACATAGTAGCACAAAACTTTAGAAATCCAATCTGAGTGAAACTTTATTATTAAGAGAAAAGGCAGCTAAGTGATAAATATAAAACGAAATTTATGAAATGCTTTAAAGAAAGGGATTACGCGGATCCTAGGTCATATAATGCGAGTACCTGCTTCATATTATTTCTTTTCTCCTAAATTTACGAAAAATCTCTACAGCTAATTTTGTTTCTATCACTTCTATAGCCATCCATCGAAAAGACGGATTACGGATTGATGATAAGATATCCGATGAATCCGATGAAAATCTTTAATTTTTTTTTGATTTTTTACTCCGAACTAGCTATTGCATTTTAGTAACTTTATTTTTTAGAACGTCAAACTGAAAGTCCTGAACCTTGAAACCTTGCATCACAGGTAAAGTCATTCATTAGTTAAATTTTTTTTTATTTGAAATAAAATTATCTAATACTAAATTTACGTTGATAGGACGGTCTGGAACTTTGAAACACTGGAACCGATCGAAGGCAAGTATAATTGTATAAATTCGTTAATAAATTCTATATATATATATTTTTTTTAAAAAAAAAAATTCACACTACTTACGGATCCGGAAATTATGATTGGAGATAAGTCTTAATGGAGTGGAATATTATATTATTTTTTTTTATTTATAATAATTAAAAAAAACGCACTTACCTTTTAAAACGTTCCAGATCCTTGAAGCTTTGGGTTGGAATCTGATCGTAGGTAAGCTCTAATGGATAAATTTGTTAGTTTAATATTTTGATTTTCAAAAAACTATCTCTAAACTTACCTTTATAGGACCGTCCGGAACTTTTGAAATCTTGAAGTCGAATCGGGGGAAAGTTATGAAGGTAATTTATTAATTATTGTTAAAAAAAAAAAAAAACAATAATTATACACCACTTGCATTTGTAGACCTTCCTAATCCTTGAAGGGGTAGTGGAAAATTTTTGTTAATTTTTTAATCTAAAAAAAAAAAAAAAAAAAATTTTGTGGATCCTTGAATCTTGGATCTGGGGCTAATTGAAGAAATTTTAGTACAGTCGAAGTGGTCTATAACGAATTTCTGTATTCCGAATTTCATGGTATTGCGAATCACATGAGTGGTACCAAAATTATATATAGTTATATAATTAAATAAACCGAATTTTCTAATAAATTTTACTATAACATATAACGAATCAGTGATGTAATACGGATTATAGTAAAGTATAGTAAAATGATACTTGATTAAACGAATTTTTTCGATATCGAATTTTTTGTCAAAATTTTAAGGGTTATAACGAATTTTTTTTTAGTAGTAAATGTATTTCTACGATAACTATTAAAGGAAATTTTACATTGTTTTTACATTATTAAATCAAACCGATCATGATTCTTGCATCGTAAATTTTTTTGATAAACGTTTTATTCAAAAATGCCAAAAGACAAAAATACTCCTGAAATAAAAAGAACTAAGGCTTCTCTTACTTGTATTCAGAAAAAGGAAATTTGCTTAAAAAGTTTACAAAAGCCAAAACCTAAAAATAAAGAACTTGCTAAAGAATATGATGTATCAGAAGGAATGATATGTGACATTTTAAAAGAGAAGAAAAAATGGTTAGAATTAAAACCAGAATCTTATGAAGCTTCACTTAAAAAATAAGTTAAAGTAAAATTTCCACAAATTGAAGAGGCTTTAAGCTTCTGAGTTGAAAAAGTAATAGAAAATAATATTACCATTAATGGTGAATTATTGGCACAAAAAGCACATTATTTTGCAATATTGTTAAATAAACCAGATTTTAAAGGATCAGAAGGATAGGTAATAGGTTTCAAAAAATGTCATAAGCTTGAATATTACCTAAAACATAAAGAATCAGCAAGTGCTTCTTTAGAAGCTTTGGATGATATATGTAAAAATCTTCAAAGTATTCTTGTAGGTTATTCACCAGATGATATTTTTAATACAAATGAAACTGGACTTTACTGGAAATGAAACCAAATCGTACATTATCAACTAGACCAGATAAAAAATTAAAAATATATTTGATTAATATAATTTATTATAAATAATTATAAATAAACTAATAAACTAAATAATATTTACCTTAGTTGCAGGAAAAAAGCAATCTAAAGAACGTGTTACTGTTATGCTATGCTGTAATGCTTCTGGAACTGAGAAACTTAAAGCAGTTTTTATTAGAAAAAGCCAAAATCCACGTGCTTTAAAAAATGTTGTAAAATCATCTCTTCCAGTACACTATTATTGGAACAAAACAGCTTATATGCAAGTTAGTGTCTGGAATAATTGGTTAAAAAATTTTGATGCATGCTTACGACTTCAAAATCGACATATAATTTTATTCTATAATGGTGCATCTACTCATATTTTACATGAAGATACTACTCTTACCAATATTCAGCTTTATAAATTGTCTTCTAATACAACAGCACATCTTCAGCCATGTGATGTTAGAATAATTGGAAGTTTTAAAGTAAATATACGTTAATAAATTCATATTATAAGATAAAATAAAAATTAATATTAAATTAATATATACCTGTATATTTATTATATAGGCGCAGTATCGAAAACTTTTTTTAAAAAATCGTATTAAAGAATTTGATAATAATTTGGAAACTGGTCAACTTATGTCTGAAATTACTATTAAAAAGGCAATTAAATATGTAGCAAAAGCATGGGACTCTGTTTAATCAGAAACAATTGTAAATTGTTGGAAAAAGATAGATATTCTTCCACATGATAATGAAGATATTGAAATTGATGATGAAAGTTCTTTTACTAATGATGATATTGATAACATTAATAAAAATATAGGATCTTATTGACCAATTAGCTAAAGATATATACAAAGATCCAATCTCTGCGGAAGAATATCTTCAATATGAAAAAGAAGAAAATATTCATCAAATGACAACTGATAAAGAAATTTTAAAATTTCTAAGAGAGCCAGAAGAAGATATTGAAGAAAAAGTTGAAGTTCCCATCATTGGCAATTATGAAGCATTAGCAGCACTTGAAAAAATAATTATGTATATTGAACAAAAAGCTGAAAAAATTCAATTTCAAAAAGACCAAATTCAGGCAATAAAAAAATTGTGAAAGGTTATAGAACGAGAAAAATTTTGTTTCAAGCAACAAGTTACCTTAGACTCTTTGTAGAAATGGATTTGACAAATAGAAGTTTGTAAAGTTTTATAGCAGGAAGGATTATTTTTTTTTTACCAATTTTGTTATTAAACCTCTCGAATATATAATAAAAATGACAATCATATTATAAATAATATATCGAATTTGTATATGATATTTGATACAACCATAAACGAATAAACTTAAAAAATTCGGTGAAACGTTACTGAATTCTTTTATTATAACGAATTGTGATCTCTGAAAATAGAGATTCATTATAGATCACTTCGACTGTATACCAATCAGCAATAAGTATGCTAATTAGCAATAAAAAAGATAAGTTAAATTTTGGCTGATTTTTAGTTATTTTCTGATGTATGTCAATCAATTAGGTTAATTTTTAATAATTTGCTAATTTTAGATCAATTTTAGACTGATTTTTCACATATCTGATTTTTTTGATTTTGATCAGTGAAATAATACATTATTATTTTAATGAACGAATTATATCATTTGTTTAGAATGATGTATTATTATTTTAAACAAACAATTTTCTTATCATTCATTTAGAATGATAATTTCAATTATTTCAAATAAATAATTTTTTATATTGTTCATTTGAAATAATATATTATCATTCTAATTGAGTGATTTTTTTATTATTCATTTGAAAGATAATTTCAATTATTCAAAATAAATGATTTTCTTATCATTTGTTTAGAATAATCATTCTTTTGAAATGATATATTTATTATTCCAATTGAATGATTTTTATTATTTATTGAAATGATAATTTAATCATTTCAATTAAATGATTCTTTATCATTTATTTAGAATGATATATTATCTCTTTAAATGAATGATTTTTTATATTCTTCTTTTAGAATAAAGTATTATCATTCCAAATGAATGATTTTTATCATTCTTTTAGAAAAATGTATTATCATTCCAAATGAACAATTTTTATATTGTTTGTTTGAAATGATAATTCCTATCATTTCAAATATACACTTTTGGGATCAAAAATTTGGGCAATTCTAAGGATGCTCAGATATACAATCAGTTTTTCATACCACATGATATTTAGCCGACATTATATAACTTGAAATCGGTGTTAACCAACTTTATAAGTCCAGTTACTGGAATTATAAGTCCAATGGTCTAGTTTTATAAATCCAGTTAGTTCAATTTGGTCCAGTTGGCCAACATTGCTTGGAATACACGGATGACATATTATTTGAGTTCACGTGAAACGGAAAAAATTTGCATTTACAGCTTAAATATTTAAAACGTGATATTGCATTTTTATTATACAAACAACACGGATTTTTATCTTCAGTTCGATCAAAACTACATAAAAAACAATACACATAGCAAAATGAGCATTATTTTGTTCATAATCACTCAAATTGAACTATTGTAATTAATTTCTTTGGAAAAAACTATATCATTATTAAGTACTATCTTCAAGCGTAAGATCTTCTAACAACTCTTCTAATTTTACTTCAGGAAAATCTTCCTCTTCTGCTGTACTTTCTTCGGCTGTTGTATCTATATCCATTGAAGGACTGGTCTTATATAGATTAACATTTTGTCTTAGTTCTGGATCTTCCTCCAAATCTTGCAAAAACGACTCATAATCTTCTTCCATTTTATTTGCATCTTGTTTTCTAGATGCCATTTCCTCTTGTTCTTTTGATATTGACTTTAACTTCCATTTTCGAGGCTTATTTTTCCTGCGTTTTTGCGGGTAAGATTTTTTGACTAATACGACGTCAGGAAGAGAATTTCTATTGAGTGTATCGAAAGCGTTATCATTAAAATTGGAGGATGTAAGATCATATCCTAAAGCGGTGTCTCCAGCGTTAAGAATTCCACCGAGATGAGAACGTGCAAAAAATGTTTTGTCGTTTTTTCCAAAATCCGATGACCGCGCTACTTGGATATCTGCAAGAATATACTATCGAGTAAAACAAAATATCAATTATTATATTACAATTAATATTGAAATTAATATTTATTTACTTTGCCACGCTTCGGCCCTAATGGTTCAACGTCTAGAATATAATATTCTACCAAATTCTTCGTTGTTGATAAAGATATGAATGGATTTCTCCAATATGTCGAAGTTGCAACTTCTGAAACTAATAAATAAATATCGCATGTAAATTATTGAAAATAAAATAAAAATAAATAAATTTACTAGATCATCAAATCATCGTTACCTGCCAAAGTATTCGGATCCATGACATGAATGGAATTACCGACACGATAACATATCACCAAAGGGCTGCCAAAACATTTTATTATTATTATTATTAGAGTTCTATAAAATTAACTATAATGAATTACGAATACTCATCAAACCTTATGTTTCCTAATGAACGCGCAATTTTGATTGGTAAACAGATTAGATCGTCTTTGCATACAGGAACGATCTCAACGGAATACGAAAACTTATAATTTGACGTATTGCTATGAATATCTGTTGATATAAGTTGTTCGGAATTCTTTGTCCTGAAATATAGAGTTATAAGATTCGGATTTAATAATTCGATAACTATTCATTAAAATACTTGAATTATTTTACCTAATAGGAACAACAGCACCTAAAAACTCTACCATTTTGATAGCATGAGATCTGTTAGAATAAAAAAAATCAATCCCATCCTTGACCTCTTTGATGTTAATAGTTTCCTTATGAGCATTATGTTTAAGAATAAGTTGTTCCAAGAAGAAAAAAGTTTTTTTGTGATTAACTTTTTGTCTGACTTGGACCATCGATTGCCACATATTCTTTGCCATTATACGTGCGCAATCATCACATTGTTGGTAGTTAACAACGAATTCTACTTCGAAAATTTGTTGTAGAATTGTTGATGCAAAAACCTAAATCAAAAAAAAATAAAAATAAAAATTCTAATTTCATCACAAAATAATTAATTATAAAAGTTAATTAGCAAACAATAGAAAACCTCTTTTTGAATTGTTAATTTAACTTTAATCCTTTTTGAATGAGGCTCAGTCCAAATAAAGCCAGCATCAATCAATCGTACTTTATTTAAACCTTTTAATTTTTTGAGACATAACGCCAATAATTCACGACTTTCTAATGCTGCTAAAACCCAAATATTTGGTGGTTGCAAGTATCTTTCGCAATTTCGACAGTATTGTAGAGTAGCATGTTTTGGAATCCCTTCGGTAATGTCAACTTCATTACGAATGCAATTAATGCACATATTCGAAGGGTTGGGAGCAATTGCTATTCCACATTGGCAACAAAGACTAAAATGTAAAATAAAACTTGATCAGTATAAATCCAATGAAGTAATATAAAAAATTTACAATAATTTACATAAGTTGTTCAATAATGACGGGATTATATTGCATTTTGTCAAATTTATTATCAAAAAAAAAAATTTACAAAAATGAATTTATAACGATAAATCATGATTAAAATCACATGATTTATTATCTCGAATTATTAAGCTGATGTAAAATTTTTATTATAAATGAAGCGTCATGGTTTCTACTTATAATTTATCAGAGCTAATATTAATTGAAGCAACTCCGGAACAAGTAATCATGTAATTTCGATCGAACAAATAGTTGGCTTTAAAATTACTATTATCCTAACTTTGGTTTAAATTTATAGAACAAACCGTAATTCTTTTGTTGAATGGGGTGCACCACATCTAACTTTAGAAGAATATCTCTCCCGAGAAAGGCTACTCTCTTCTCTTCCATTTACATCCAAAAATTTTACAGTTTGGATCCTAGTTCCTCGATCAACGCCCGAGACAACAACGAACATTCTTTCATCATGTGAAACATTTATACGTCCAGCGCTCGTTCAACCTTCACAAAAACAATATTGTTATAGTATAGCCTCAGTTTTTACACCACCTGAACATAGGAAGAATGGATACGCATCTTATATGATGGAAATGTTGGGAAAAAAATTAAAAGAAAATTTCCAAGGAGTTGGGTTTAGCTTTTTGTATAGTGATATTGGAACAGAATTTTATAGCCGACTTGGTTGGAAAGTTTTTGGGCACAAAGAAATCCAATTTAATATTGAGAATGAGAATTTGAATGATATTACCTCCGATATTGCTAATGCAATACCATTATCTTGGACAGATGTTGAAGATTTAACTAAATATGATTGTTCTTTAATAGAAAATGAAATTGGTGTTAGCTCTGCTAAACATGGAGCTGTCGTATTGCCAACATTTGAATGTTTTGAATGGTTATTCGCGAGAAGTAATTTTTATGCAAAAGTCAAAAAATTGAGAGAGCCTAAAATTTGGGGCGTTAAATTAGCAAATGGTGATGATCAAATTATTGGATTTGTTATTTGGACCTATAATTTCCAAGAAGAGATTCTTCAAATATTGAGATTTCGATCTTTAAATACTAATGTAACTAAATCGTTAATTAAACGAGCAAAATTATATGCTAGTTATTGTAATTTTAAAAAGATTACAGTTTGGAATCCAAATTTAAAATTATTTACTGATACCACAATTATTGAAGGAGGTGAATTAGTTGAAAGAACAAAATCTCTTCCATCATTAGCCTGGTATAATAATGACAAAGGATTTAATGATGATGTGGAGTGGATCTTAAATGAAAATTATGCTTGGTGTTAGCATTCTTTAATAATTTCTTACGTTTAGATCACGTCTCGATGAAAATCCATTTTATACCGTTTGTAAATATATTTTACAGTACAGTATAACGAAAAAAATTTATAATAAAAAACTTAAATATCCAAAATTGATTATTTATCATTAATAGAACCAGCTAATTTTTTTAGCAATTAATAAATTTTAACAATAGATTCCTTATCAACGTATGATTAATACTGAATAATTACTTACAAAAGTGGCCATAATTAATAATAAAAATAAAATAAAGGTTACTTTGATAAATTATTTACTCCGGAAAAATCGGCTCGCTGACTCAATTACCGAATTTAAAAATCTATGGTACAAAAAAATGAATTTTTTATATCGGTTGATCATGCTATTTTGATAATCATTTTTCTGTCACATACAGTGGATATCAAATGTCACTGGGCACTTAAAAATTAGAAAATCGACGATAGAAGTTATTTAAATTAAACTTTTTATTTTATTAATTAAATTATCTTTGATGCAATAAGTTAAGTTGTGCAACTTAACGAAATACACATATATTAAAATTTTTATAAATATCCAATAGGTAACATATTTTATATTCAGTATTTATATAACTTTTTCATGTATTAATACAAGTACTCAGTTTTAATTAAACATAAAATTTTTTAATAGTAATCGATTTTCATTTATTAATTAAACTTGTTCTTCGTATTAATAAATATATATTCTCAAAATTTCATACTAATTACATTCATATTTGTAACGATTGAATAAAATTTTAAAAAGATTAGCATTTCACGTGACTTGTGACTTTATTGGTTCAATCTCCACATGTATAAATGCAAATAATTAAAACCAATTAGAGAAAATATTTTAATACAATAAACAAATTAAATTAATGAAATATAACAGATTACAACTAAAAAATTCAATGGTTTATTATGACTTAAATCTTGTATTAATATATAAAAATATTATATTAAATATATAATATAAATATAAATTTTACTATTGACAGATATCATATGTATTTTATTATGATATATATATTTACCTATTTCATAAAAATTTAATTAATAAAATAAAAAGTTTAATTTGAAAGAACTTTTTTTATCAATTTTTTAATTTTAAGTGCTTAGTAAATTTTCATATCTCATTATACTTTGTTAGCCAATAAAAATTTAATTTTACAAATAATAATTATCCAAAAAATCAAAATCTGCATTGTATATTACAGTATCAATCTATCATTTTGTAAGAGATTTCCTGATCTATTAAGTTATATAAAGGCACTATATATTAGAATTTACCATTTAGATCTAAGTAGATAAATCTTATAAAATGATATGACTAATAATTATGTAAAAATAGTGAATGTCAATTACTATAGTTAAAGTGAGCAAATTTGATAGAAATTCAAATGTAACCTAGTTAAGTTAGCTTAAAATCAAATCTTTATATTAGTAAACTATATACTAAATAAACTCCTATAATATAATTGATTAGGTTAGACCTTAAATAAGTGATTTTAATATTATAAAAGAAAGGTTAAAAAAAATTTGAAGTAGTTTAAAAAAGAGATTAAATAAATTATAAGAAAAAAAGAGAAAAATAATATATAGTAAAGAATTACTTAATTAAAGAGAAGAAGTGATATAATAGCTTTGACCTTCCATGATGTTTCAGAATCAAAAAAACTGAAAGAATTTGTCAACTTTGATGAAAAACAAGAAACTTTTATCCAAAAGTAAATTAGAATGAATTGAAGTAAATCTCCTATTTATTTCAATAACTTAATATCAAAAAACAATAATTTATAGAATACTGTAGAATTTTTCTTAAATGCATCTAACTACAATATTCATTTTAATCATCATATAATAACATAAAATTTAAAATTTCAAATTTTTATAATAGAAATCACAGAATCACGTTATTTTCATAAGATTAAATTTTAATCAATAATCAAAGTTTTACATTTTATATTTGTTTTATAAATTAAGTTAGAACTTTTAGCAGATATAGTAATATGTAAAAATAATATTCATAAACACTTATATTAATAAATATCCTAGTATTTTTAGAGAGAATGAAAATATTATATTTTATAATTTTATAACTTTTCAGTTAAATGAAAGTCAAAATCTATTATAAATAGACATTATCTTTCAAAAGAATATTTTTAAAAAAAATAAAGTTATGAAAATAATGAATAAAAAAAAAATAAGTAATTATTTCTACAATTAACAATATACTTAAATATAAAAGTGAAATCATAGAGGATTTAATTAAAGCTTTTTCCTTTGCAAATATTTCTTTAGAAAAAATAAATCAACTTCTTTTTTTTTAAAAAAGCATCTTAAAGAAAAAAGTGTAATTTCTTAAGCTTCTATCTTTCGTCAAATATATTTATCTAATATTTTTGATAAACATTTTTTTACTTTAAAATTACTTTAATTAAAAATTTATAGTAATAATAATAGATAAGACTATAAATAATTGCTCAAAAAGTATTATTTTTTCCTTTCGTTAAAATACAAAACTTATATCAGTTGACTTTTAAATTGTATCAATAATTCAATAATAAAAGAAATACTTTTAACTATTTAAACTAATTATAATATTCTCTAATTCTTACCAAGATTATTTCTTTTAGATTTTGTAATATACATGAAAAATGCTATAAAGAAGTTTTAAAACTAATAATATCACAATTAATTCATATGTTATGTTTAACTCATATTATAAATTTTATTGGATAAATATAAATAAATTTATTAAATTATTTAAAATTTTATTTAATATTTATAATAATTTTCATTAATATATATATTTTTTTTAATAGTGACACTTGGAGAACTTATCCAGATTTTAGTCTTTTAAAGTTATTATTATCAAAAATTAAGGAGATATATGTAAATGCATCAGCACAAAAAAAGGTATTACTTAATTTATTTTAAAATACATGAAATTAAAAATGCTTGTAAAATTTCATTACCAAATAAAACGCATTAGAATTCATAATTTAATATGATATTTTATACTAAAGATCATATTGATTATTTTAATCTTCTTTTTATCAAGAATATGAAAGTAATACAAAGTATTTATCAATTTTTGCAATTAATGAAATTTATAAGATAAATAAAAAAGAAGAATAGTTACAATCTATATAAATTTTATAGATAAGAATTTGTTCAGAATTTAGATTTTTTCTAGTAACATAATAAGCTAATTTTTTCATTTATTGAAGGTTATCTTAAATAATTTACATCTTATTTGAAGGAAATCTTGTAATACAAGATTTTAAATCTAATATTATTACACAATTTAATTTTAACCCAAAGGATATTTATAATAGTTTTTGATCAGCATTTATTGTTGCATATAATAAATTTTCAATGCATATTTCACAATATCCTATAAGATCTTTATTTTATGCTGCTTGTGTTTTTAATCCATTGTACATTAAAATGAAAATTCCATTTAAAGATATTTGTCAATATTCAGTAATTACAGAACTTTCTAATCCATTAAATGAACTATTAAGAGAATAGTCAATTTATTGTAGATTAACAAATTAATTAATTGAAAATATGTTAACTTTAATATTTTTTTGGATGAAAATGCAATTTAATTTACCAATTTTATCAAAAATTGCATTGGATTATATTTAGTTTCTAATTTCTAGTTGTAGTATAAAGTGTAATTTTTCTTTATATAATAACTTTTTAAATAGTAATTATTAAAATCTATTGTGTGAATTATTAAAAAGACTAAATATGTTATATTTTAATAAAAATAATTGATTTTAAAGTGAACTATATTATTTATTTATAATTAAAATAAATCACATAAAATTATCAAATTAATTTAAATCATCACTAAATTAAAATAGAATGCATTAAAATTGGTATTATATGATATCATAAAATTTTACTTAATCATACGCAGAACTTGATTTTTATTACTACAAAAAATTATTCATTAGATGATTATATTTTTTAAACAGATAAACATAATGTGAAAGATTTTTAATAGTAAGAGAATAGAACTGTTTATGTTATCAAATTTATTCAGACTTTTACAAAGGTCTTATCCATATAATTGTGAAGATATTTGCTATAATTTGCTATAGTATTTAATCCTATAAAGAACATTCCTGCTAATATTAGATTTTCTGGTGCAACAAGTGAGTATTTTTGTTTATTATTTCCTTATTCTAAGTATGATTCCATTACTTATTATTGTTATCTAATGGTAATAAAAACATGTAAAGGAAGCAAAGAGCTAGATGCATCATTTCGATCTATAAAAAGCTTCAGATATTTAGTGGTAGATATGATGGAATGATATGAAGTGCTTTTAACTATTTATTTTTTTCTTATTGATACTATTACATTGATTTCTAATACCAGAGTCATTTGCTTTTAGAACAAATCCTAGCCTAATCTTATAGTAGAGGTACTTATGCCTAAGAAGAGTAGAAATCTAAAGATAAAATTGAGAATTACTGGCTCCTTCCAAATGAAATTCACAATATAATTGTAATTAAGCTAAATTACATAGATAATACAATTCTAATGAAAATAACAGTAAGTAATAATAAAAGATTTAATTACTGCACAGATTTCCTTGATACTAATTAAAATATTTATTCATTAATAAGCATAAGATTATTATGAGAATAACTGAACAGATACTGATACGCTCATCCTCATAATAGTATGATATTATTTTATGCTTTATCAGCATAAAATTGATATAAATTTAATGTTTTTTATTTAGTATAAATTTGGGACTATAAATTAGTAAAAATACATTCAAATTAATGTTTTAAATTCCTAAACATGTCATGTACATTATTACATAAAACTAAATATTATAACTAATGAAATTGATTATATAATGATTGTATTATTTATATTTATAAAAATTATAGATATTGTGATAAAAAAGATAAAAAATTAAATTTATATTACGGTTAATTAACCAAAACTTAAATTTATTACCATAATAATATCTAACAAGCTATATTTCAGATAAGAAGGTGTGAGCACAAATAGTTAAATAATATAAGAGGACTGCTTTCAAATTAATCTATGTTTAAAATTCTTGTAGAAATCGTTGCCTACCTTAATAGCAGAAAATCATCTAACTGGTCTTTTTTTGATTTCTTTTTCTCAAATTTTAAAGTGATTGTTAATTTGCAACTAAACACCAATAATATTAAGGGTTTAGCTGACATTTGACTAAAATACTTCAAGTTCAAAATAGAAACTAAAAACCATGAAGTTTCTAAAGTGAATATGTTCAATTTTGATAGAAAGGCACCTTTTACCAGATTACTACCTGAGACACAGAGATAAGTATACTTATTCGTTAAATGTTAGGGGGTTTTTAAAAAATCTTGTCAAGTTACTACCTAAATCAAAAAGATTAGTATACTTACTGTTTTTCTTATATGCAATTTTCTTTTATTATGCTTTTTACCATAAATCTTGGGTGAATAAACATATTATTTTATTAATCATTGATTAAACTCATAAGATTAATAACTCAAATATACAAAAATTTTTTAACAAAGTAATTCATGCTCGACTAGAGATAGGTAATGCTAATTTTAATAACTCTTATATACCTTTAATTATGATTTAAATATCAGAAATAGATTATATGACAACAAAATATTGCAATTTTAAGATAGGTCTAAAATGATTTGTTCTTACAACTATTTAGCAGTTCTAATAGAACTTGTTTGTAAGTTAAGATTATTATAGATAAGTAAGAAATCAACCTTGTGAAAGCATCATATGAATCTTATGGATCTGAAATGATTGCAGAATACTCATATAATCAGAAAATTCAAAATAATGACAAACATATTGAAAGTGATCAATTTTTTAGTAATATCAAATACAGAAAGCTTTAATGATGAAGTTACTACTATTTATCTTGTGTTAAAAGTCAGAAGTGAAAATATGAATAATAGTATTTTATATAAAAAAATAACAAATAATATAGTAGGTTTGTTTTGATCTCAATAAACCCAACTCTTTTATTAAATTTCTGGTAATTATTTTGATGGTGTTTATAGATAAAATAATTAATAATTTCAAAAACTTGGAAGAGATTTGGAATATAGAGATAGAGCAGTTAGAAAAGAAAAACATTAGAGTATAGTAAGTTTTTTGTATAATACTGATATGACTCTTAATGATTTAGTTGAAGATGATAACTTAGTAGTTAATGTTAATTAATACATGTTGTAATTATAGGTCAATTGAGTCTCGTATTATTAATTTTACCAATTAGACAAAGCTGAAATAGTTTAGAATATTAAAACTTGAAGATAAAACTGCATTAATAAAATCGTTTAATAAAAAATTAGATACAGAACAAATAGATGAGAAGGTTTTAAAGTTTATTAATAATTCATCAAACAATTTGATAATAAATAATATTGTATTTATTATTTATAAATCTATATTATAATAATATAATCAATAAAAAAATTATATTAATATTACAGAGAAATTTGAATGATTTACAAAAATGAAAAACTAAACTTGTAACATTTTATTCTGAAGATGTTATATTAGCATCTGAAATAATTTCTTTCTTGTAAGTTACATGATTTAAAATATTAGTTTGATGTTATTATATTCTAAAGCAATTAGTTTTTTGTAGTTATAAATGCTATTATCATAAGATCAATATTTTAACAACTCTACTTAGAGAGTGTAATTATATATTAACAATATTAGATCTATTATTTGAAGATTTATAGATTTATTACAAAAATTTAATATTGAACAATTCGAACTATTTTGGTATGTTGCCTCAAATATTTTTTGTGAATCCAGTGTTTGTAAATTTATTGTTAAACTTAATTGTTTATAAAAATTTTTGGATTGAAAAAAATGTAATGCAATCAATTCTCAAAATGAAAAAAAATTAGTGTTGAATACGTACAATTAAACAGAAATTTTACTAAATTAAATATATTTTTAGTAGGGATGAATCAGTTCTGATAAGACCAGTTTTAGATTAGTTAATAGAACTGGTTCTTGCGATCTTCAGTCCTTATTCTGAGAACCAATCCAGACTGATCCTTTATTATTTATAGCATATATTATTTTAAATTAAGGATTAATATTATAAAATACTTATTTTATTTATAAAATATTACAAAATTATAGTTAGTTCAACCTGGTCCAGTTTTTATCTTTCTTATGAAATAGACTAGTCCATAAGTCCTTGAACATGTCCTAACATTTTATTATAATGATAATGTTCTAAATAGAAATAAAAAAATAACAAAATTAACAAAGACATAGTAATCATTTTGTATATAATTATTATTATACTTTTTATATATCATTAAATATGTATATATCAGATGAATATTTATTTCTAATATGTTCTATATCAATCCTTGGACTATTCTTGTAAATCAATTTGGATTGAGAAGGAAACAAATCTTGGACTAGATTGAACTGGTAGGACTGAGATCAGTCTTAGGATTAATTCTGATTTAAACAGAGAAAGAAACAATATTTAGACCGGACTGAACTAGTAGAACTAAATAATGCAAGACCAGTCTTAAGATTAACTTATAGACCAGTCTGATTCTAAAAAAGATGAAAGACGGTCTTTTAGACTAGATCAGATTAGACTGATCCAACCTTATATTTTTCTATTGAAATTCAAGTCACTGATATGAAATATATAAATTTTTAGTGATTGATTTTATTCATTTTATGTTCATCTTATCTTAATAAAATCCTTAAATCCATCATTGGTCTATTTATTTTCTATAATACAATTCTTAAATTTTATTTTTTTATGGAAATGGCAACACTAGACATGCTAAAAACTCCTTTAGAAATGAATGATTTGTTACCAATATTCATTAAGAATTTGCTTGGACTTCGGGTTATATTTTATATTATTGGAAGAATTCTTCAAGTTTGCTATATATTTTTATTAATATTAAAATTTATACTTTTCACTTAATATAGTATACATTGCTGTCACTTAATAATAAAATTTTAAGCATCACAAGAGCACAAAGAGAATGTAATCAATACCCTCCTCCCTTTATTATCACTTCTAATACTTCTGAGATTAAATGGCAAAAATGCTATATTTGATAATATATATTAAAATTTATACTTTTAAAATATATTAATCCAAAAAGAAATAGAAAATTTAAATTGCATATAGTAAAGATGAAATAAGAATTAATAAAAATTGTAATTAAATAAAAATTAATAATAAAATGTAAAAGTATTTAAATTTTATAATTTTATTAGATAAGATTTAATTCTCAAAGATACTCTTAAATAATTATATAGATTTTTGTAATACTAATCTTATCTTAAGATAATTTAGTTTTCTTTGCATTAAAATTGCTAATGTAACTTATTTGCATATTTTGCTAAAATAATAAAATTGATTACAATATTATTGCCTTTTTTTTGTTCTTTATTATTAGTAAATAAGTAATTAATTTAATAATAAATACTTTAATTACTATCTATATTATCCAATTAATTTAGTGATTTATTATTACTATTAGTTATTTGCCTTTCTAATTTTTTAATTTTCTTTTTTATTCTTTATTTATTCTGTATTTTAGTGTATATTTATTAGATTTTAGAAATATTTATATATTTTTAAGGTTATATTATTATTAACTAATTTTTTTAATTCTTAATATTTCTTTATTTTCTTTATCAACTGAATCCTAAAATCTATTTTAATAGCTTTAATTGTGCAAAAAGAATAAAAGTAGCAATATTAATAAATATTTAATATTAATATAATTTTCTTAGAACAATTTATTATAATATTAATTTTTTTGTCCAAAATTGATAATATTTTTTATGAACTCTTTTTAGGTTAATTTTTATAATATATCATATTAAAAAACATTTGAAAAAAAAATAAAAATTTAGCTTATTTATCAGATAATCTATTTGGAACATATATTTAATATAAAAATATATTTTTGAGTTGAATATATAAAAATTTATTTTACAAATAAGATTTTATATAACACAATTTTTATTGTAAATATTAAATATTTATATAAAAGAATCAGTTAAATTCACTATTATTTTTATTTAAAATATAGCAAATTATAATAATAGTATCTTTACTTGCAGATACAAAATAATAAGAATAAAGATACTGTAACTAGTTGTAACTGGTGATAAATAAGTATTGCAGAATTACAACTAGTTACAATATTAATAAAATTAAGTTGCAACTATATGCAACTGGTAACAAATAAGCATTATATAATTGCAACTAGTTGTAGCATTATCTTAGAATCTGAACAATATATGTATATGTTAGATTTGAGATTGCTTATTAAATATAAAAATTTTTTGATTAAGTCACCTAAAATTTTGCATAGCAAATAGCAAAATTTTAATATAGTTAGATATGTATTTGCATAGCAAAGATAAAAATTATCAAACTCAATAATTAGTTTGTATAGCAGAAATATATTTTTGAAAATATGTGTGATATCAAATATAATCAAAAAAAATAACTATACAGTCCCTGATGAAAAGAATAGCAGTGCAATCTTTTAATATATAATTAATATTTTTTTGTAAGAATTTGTATAAACAATTATATAGTATTTTATATGTATTACTAGTCCAAATGCTATGTGTATTATTTGAAGTTTGCAATGCATATTTTAATATGAAAAAATTTTTGCGATTGTAAAATAAGGTCAAATTTAAATGTTTGATCATTAAAATTAAGATTACAAAATATTTTACTATATTAACGAGCTTCACTCACTAATAAAAAAAATGTTTAGTTAAATGTTTTATAATAGAAATAATATATTTTAATTAAAGAAGTAGAAAATAGAAAGCATGAAGTTAAATTAATGAGAAAAAAGGCCAACTTTCTAATTTTTTAGTATTTTAACTTGTATTTAAATTCAGATTGACAAAGAAGAAGAATACTTTTTATATTTTAATTTTTTGAGTGTATAATTCCTTAATCAAAAGCATTTAAGAATAAAAAAAAATTTAAAAGTTATTTATTAAAAACTTTTATTATTCAAAAAAACTTTCTGCCATTTTTTTCGTCAAGAACTGTACTTCTTAAATTAAGACAAGTAAATAAAATTAACATATAATTTTTAAATTAATTTAATATGTGATAGTGTAATAAAATTTTGATCTATTTTTATATGTGATTGTGTAATAAAATTTTGATCTATTTTTATATGTGATTGTGTAATAAAAATTTAAGCTATTTTTATATATAATAGTGTAACAAATTTATACATAATCACATAGTAAAATTAAATGTAACAGCATAACAAAAAAATTATATAATATAATTTTAACGTGACAAAGATAAAATTTGTTTATATATCTGTATAATCTAAAAAATCTATAAGTAGAAAGTAAGATCAGTAGGTTTGAGGGAGGAAAAATAAGTTTTTTGTTCTTTTTCCAAATTTTTGTACAATACTATCTATGAATCAATCATTAAAAGTTGCATTATTTTTATTTAGTAACATTTTTTATAATTTTTGATGTTTTGTTATAGTAAAATTTGTCATTTTTTAACAGTTTTATATTTTTAAAATTTGAACATTATATATTATATTTGATTTTGTTTACTTTACAACTTTACTTAATTATAAAAAGTAATTTTTGAATGTTAATTTTAAGTTTAATATAAAAAAACTGCTAAATAGAGTATGAAAATTTATTGTGAGCCTTAACTATCTATTATATACTTTTGAAATTTGAATATTATATATAATTTATTTGTTCTACAACTTCATTTAATTATAAAAAGTAAGTTTTAAATGCCAATTTTGAATTTAATATAAAGAAACTACAAATTTTACTTAATATATATAAGTCACAAAACAGTTTGTTTAATAGAGTCAAATTTTATTAAGTCATAATGAGAGTTTGCTTAGCAGAATTGAAAATAGTTTACTTATTGATAATAGTAAATTTTGAAATTTTCATCTGATCTATACATAGATTGTTCAGGATCCTGTTATCTTTAAATAAAAGTTATTTGATTTTGCAGATATGAATAATATAAAATTATAGATTATATTACTCTTTTTCTTAAAATCAAATTATTTAAAAAAATAATTATTGATTTATATAAAAGATATAATTAAATATAATTCTACTTGATAAATTAATCAAAAGAAAATACAAATATATAAGGTTTTTTATAAGATATAATTACAATTTAAAATTTTTAAATAATAAAATAAAACCTTATTTATTTATAATTTTATTTGAAAAGTTAATTTAATTTTTGAATTCACATTTTATAAATTTGTTAATAAATCAAATAATATTCTAAAATATCAAAATATAAAACCTTTTGAATCTTAATAAAAGATATTTATGAATAATATAATTGAGATTATCATAATTTGTATTAATAATACAGTAAATATTTTAATTATCATTTTTATATCACTTTTAAGAATATATTAATACAGTAGTGATTAAAAGTATTATATCACTTTTATATTAAATTTAAAATATAAATTATGAAAGTTAACATAATAAATTTATATTTATTTTAAACTCTGAATCTCAAACATCATTTTAAAATAATTTTTTTATTTAATTTATAATATAATTTTATATAAATTATTTGATTACAAAATAGTGAATTTTTAACTTTTTATTTAGAATAGTAACAATAAAAATTAATACTTAATTTTCGTTTTAAGTAATTAAGAGTTTACATTTCAAATATTGTAAAAATTAGATCATTAGTTATAAAAAAATTAGCTTTTAAAAATTATAAAAATTAACGAAAATCAATGTTATACATATATAAAATAATGATTTTTAGTGATTTTTATAATTTTTAAAAGCTGATTTCTTTATAATTAATAATCTAATTTTATAATATTTGAAATACAAATTTTTAATTACTTAAAGATTGATATTAAGTATTCATTTTTATTATTATTATTCTAAATAAAAAGTTAAAAATTCACTATTTTGTAAATTAAATAATTTATATAAAATTATACTATAAATTAAACAAAAAATTTATTTTAAAATAATGTTTGAGATTTAGGTTTTAAAACAAATATAAATTTGTTATATTAGCTTTCATAATTTATATTTTAAATTTAATATAAAAGTGATGTAATACTTTTGATCGTCACTATAAGTACTCTTTATAAAAAATTTTTATGATTACAATTCTGAATCAAGTTAGATTAACCTGTTTATTTGATCTAATCTAATTTAAAAATTCAGGTTAGATCAGTAGATTTTAAATTAATGTCAGGTCAGGTTGACCTATTTATCTAATATAATCTGACTTAATAAAGTTCAGGTCAACTAGAGATATGATTTGATCATCTGAAATTCTATCATTCTATCAAAATCTAAATATAAATTATAATCTAGATTGGATTATTTTAAATGAATAATATACATATTACAAAATTTTGATTGAATTTTCATTAGATCATCTATATAAATTTATTCAATTTAGTAAAATTCATATAGTTTTAAAGTTTTCTAATAAATTCATATATTTACTATATAAAAAAATTAAAGAAAATAATATATGAAGCATTCAGATGTAAAAAAAATGCAAAATAAATTACGTGTTATTTATTTTTATTATTTATTTTTATTATTTTTATTAATATTTATATAAATAATATAATAATATAATAAATAATAACTGAAATTAAAGAAACTCATAATAATAATAGTAATACTGAATTTGAGCAACTAAACTAAAAAAATATAAAGTTAAATGATGTAAAGTTAAAAGTTAGATTGAAAATATTTTGAACCTAATTTTAGAGAAGAAGTATAATATATAATTTATAAAGTAAAAGAAGTAGTTAAAAAGAAATGTGAAAAAACTTATAAGATAGAAATATAAACTAGTAACTATTTTAACCATTTTATAAGTAAATATGAAATTACTTAAGAACAAAGGATATTAATGTAAGTAAATTTTTTATTTTTAATTTATAATTATACAAAATAAAATCTAATAAAATTTTTATTAAAAAAAAAATATAGGTAAATCAAAATTAAAATATTAAAAATGTTTTTCAAAAGAAATTTATTATAAAAAATCACATTATCTTAAATTA